CCTGGCGGTGGCGGAGCAGGTAGCCGACTTTGCCAGCTCCCTGCTGGCCGCCCTCCACTGCTGGCACTATCGGGCCAACGCTTTACTTTTCTCCCGGGGCGCTATGGTGAGGTGTCTCTTCGATCTCCCCTCCTCCTGCATGTTCCTGGCACGCGCATGCCCATCCCAGAGCCCCCTCCGCTGTCCTCCCCCCGCCCTGGTTCCTTTACTCCTGCCTTGGCTCTTCCTAACACCCTCGCTGGCTGTCATGCCCTGGTGAGCCCCTGGCATGTGCTGTTCCCATACCGGGCACTAATCAGTATAACAACCACCGAGCATGACGGAGGGCGTGGGGCACTGGGGAAGGAGAGAGGCGCGTACACAGTGGGGCCGAATGGTTGAGTCCACTCGGCCCGGAAGGGAAGGCGGGCTGGGCTGTTTCCAGGGCCACACGCTCGCAAGGAGTTCTGTGGCCCCAGGCCTGTTGGTTCAGGCCAGATGGGGAATGGCGCAGGTCCGAGGCCTGTTCTCAGCGCAGCCCGGTCCCCTGGCGCTGCCCGTGTGGGGATGCAGAAGAGACCAGCTGCGGGTCATCCTGGAGTTGACGGCTGACCTCTGCTTCCTGCAGGGGAAAGGGCACAGGGAGTCTGACGACCCCAAGAGCTGCAGGAGGCCCAGCAGCCGCCCCCTGACCAGTGCTGAGAAGCGCATGAGCTTCGAGTCCATCTCCTCCCTGCCAGAGGTGAGCGGCCGGCAGGCGGGTGGGGATGGCACGACAGACCTGGAGCCCAGGTCTGTAGCAGGGCTTCAGGCCTGGGCTTTCTCATGGGAACAGAGATTCCCCACCCCACCGAACTCTGGCCCTTCAGGAAGCCTGTTCTGTGAATTCGAAAAAGGTGCCCCTTCCTTGGGCAGAGGCAGCCCTGTGCCAAGGGGCACAGCTAGTGGAAGTGAACCAGATTTTAGGCCCACTTGGCTGGGCCACTTTGTATAGGGCACAAGTCCCTGTCCCTGCCAGAATGCCAGGCATGTAAATCTTGCTCTTGGCCACCTGGGCAAAGGGGTAGAGTGTGGATGGCCACCTGACCCCTTCTCCATGCCTAATGTTTATTTCTTCCAGACATTCCCCACAACAGCTCTGGAAGGAAAGGGGCCCTAAGGGGCCGATGGCCCTGACACTGGGCAGCTTCATCGGGGCAGGGCTGATCAGGCCTTGGCCTCTGACCCAGGCCACTCCGCCTCATGCTGTGTGGGTTGTGAGGAGTGGAGTCCTTCACGTTCCCAAAGTTGTAAGGGGAAGATCACAAGCGAAGGTCCCGACCCCATGTTGGACCCACAGCCAACACTGAGAAACCTGGTTGGTGTTGCATAAGAACGTGGCATGGTGTCTTCATCAGTTTAGACTGCTATAATGAAATCCCTTTTGCTACCTGGGTGGCTTAGAAACAGAGCTTTACTGCTCACAGTTCAAGGCTGGGAATTCTACGATCAAGGCGTCTAGTGAGGACTCTGCTTCCTAGATGGCATCTGCTCTCTGTGTCTTTCCCCTGTGGCATAGGAGGCAGGAAGCTCCCTCTAGTCTCTCTCTCTCTCTCTCTCTCTTTTTCTTGACTCAAAGTCTCACTCTGTCACGCAGGCTGGAGTGCAGTGGCATGCTCACAGCCGCTGCAGCCTCGACCTGCTGGGCTCCAGCGATCCTTCTGCCTCAGCCTTCCAAGTAGCTGAAACTACAGGCGCTCACCACCTCACCTAGCTAATTTTTTGGTTTATTGCAGAGATGAGGTCTCGCCATGTTGCCCAGGCTGATCTCAAACCCGTGGGCTCAGGCAGTCCTCTCACCTCAGCCTCCCGAAGTGCTGGGATTACAGGCATGAGCCAACATGCCCGATGAATTTTTTTTTTTTTTTTTAGATGAGCTCTCACTCTGTCATCCAGACTGGAGTGCAGTGGCACATGCATGGCTCTCCAAAGCCTAGAACTGGGCTCAAGCGATCTTCCCACCTCAGCCTTCCGAGTAGCTGGGACCATGGGTGCACACCACTACGCCTGGCTATCTTTTTGTTTTTGTTTTTATAGAGACAAAGCCTTTATGAGGACTCTTTTATGATCTTTTATGAGGCTCTTTTATGAGGGCTCTAATCCCATTCATGAGGGGGTCGCCCTCGTGACCTTGTCATTTCCCAAAGGTCCCACCTCTCAATACTATCACAGTTGGTATTCGGCCGTAGCAAGTAGGGCTGCCCAATAATAGCACGTGAGCCACCTGTTAAAACATTAAAAAGAAACAGATGAGATTAATTTTAGTCATATATGTTATTTAATCTAATATATCCGAAATATTATCATTTTAACATATAAATAATATCAGTACTAAAAGTTATCGACATCACTTATTTATTTATTTTTGTACGAAGTCTTTGCAGTCTGATATGTGCTTTACCCTCATAGCAGGCCTGAGTGTGGCCACGTTTCGGGGATTGGGAAGCCACATGAGGCTGGTGGCTGCTCAACTGAGCAGTGCAGGCCTTGGTCATGGTTCTGCTCTGCAGACTCTAGACTAGGACACACGGAATTGGGTTTCACTCCTCAGAATCCAGGGCTTGCTCTTCCCTCTAAAGACATCTCTGGAAAACTTCCTGTGCCAGCGGGCTTGTGACTCAGGTTGCCTTCAAGGTGGCCAAAGAGGGAATTCACACATTTGCTTCCTTCCTTGCCCCTTTGCCAGGTGTGGGCCGTCATGCTGGGCCCATGGGTGCTGAGAGAGGCTGGAGGGTCCAGCTCTGACAGGATTCCCGCGTGTGGCTGTGTTGCTCTCTGGACCGATCTACATGGGAGGCCTCGGTCCCTCAGGGTGATTGGAATGGCTTCTCGTGTTGCTCAGGCCCGGGTTTGAGCCCCAGGACCCCTGACTGGGCAGCCTCTGGGGCCTTAGGGACCTGCCTCACCATCAGACAGGGCGTCCAGGTGCCATGACTCTGTGAGAACCGCCTCCTGGGAACCCAGAGCGGTGCCTGGCCTGTGGGGTATGTTCCCACCCTGTCTCTGTGGTCCTCAGACCGGCTGCCACTGAGGTATCACCATCACACCCATTTGCATTCCTAGCATTTTCCTTCGGTTCGGAGACATGGGCTCAGCACCCCAGCCTCAGGGTGACACGATCATGTTCCTCTGTCTGAGGACCCACCGCCCCACTCTTAAATAGTGCCCGTTCTGAGTGCCATGAGTCCTAACTGCAGGCCCCCCACAGGGCTTTGAGCTGGCCACGCTGCCCCTCACCCCCAGATCCCTCCAAGGAGGTTTTGCACTCATGAGAGCTCTCGCCTCTGTTCCAGGTTGAGCCAGACCCTGACCCCGGGAGCGAGCAGGAGGTATTTGCTGCCATGGAAGGTCCCAGCTCTGAGGAGATGCCTTCAGACACAGAGTCTCCAGGAATCCTGGAGACACAGCTTGCTGCCCACCAGGGGCTGCTGGGAAGGGACCACCCGGGTGACATGGTGGACTTTGTGGTGACTGAGACCACCGAGGACCTTAAGGTCCTGAGCAGTGAGGAGGAGGAGGAAGACGTGGGGGCCGCCCAGGAGCCTGAGAGCCTCCTGCCGCCCTCTGTGCTGGACCAGGCCAGCGTCATTGCTGAGCGGTTTGCCAGCAGCTTCTCCCGGCGGAGCAGCCTGGCACTGGAAGACGGCAAGTCCAGTGGCTTCGGGACCCCACGGCTGGCCAGCCGGAGCAGCAGCATGCTCAGCCTTGAGGGCAGCGAGCAGGGCCCCGCCTGGCATGGCCACACCGGCGACTCCCTCGGATGTCAGCTCCCCACAGAAGTGGACCTCGGGGTGGGGGCAGCCATGAAGAGCAACCCGTCTGTCGATGAGACCAAGCCCCTGGACCCAGGCTGCCCGGCAGAGCCCGACCAGTCTTCCTGCAAGAAGAAGGACTCGACGCTGTCTACCCGAGACCGGCTGCTACTGGACAAGATTAAGAGCTACTACGAAAACGCAGAGCACCACGATGCAGGCTTCAGTGTCCGGCGCCGGGAGAGCCTCTCCTACATTCCCAAGGGACTGGTGAGAAACTCAGTCTCCAGGTTCAATAGCCTCCCCGGGCCAGACCCAGAGCCTGTGCCCCTTGCGGGACACAAGAGACAGGTGAGCTCCCGGCCGGCATCGTGGACCCCGTTGGACCTCCAAGGACCAAGCCAGGCGGGCACCGGGGACCCTTCTCCCATCACAGACGCTGAGTTCCGCCCATCTTTGGAAATGGTGAAGATCTGGGAGGGCCTGGAGTCCTCTGTGGGGAGCCCCCGGAAGGGCCCAGGCCAGGGCCGGGCCAACGGCTTCGATCTGCACGAGCCGCTCTTCATCCTGGAGGAGCACGAGCTGGGAGCCATCACCGAGGAGTCGGCCGCTGCCTCGCCGGAAAGCGCCTCCCCCACCGAGCGGCCCAGCCCAGCCCACCTGGCCCGGGAGCTGAAAGAGCTGGTGAAGGAGCTGAGCGGAGGCGCCCAGGGGGAGCTGGTGGCCCCACTGCACCCCCGCATCGTGCAGCTGTCCCAGGTGATGGACAGCCACGTGAGCGAGCGCGTCAAGAACAAGGTCTACCAGCTGGCCCGCCAGTACAGCCTGCGGATCAAGAGCAAGGCCGAGCCAGCCAGGCCACCCCTGCAGTGGGAAAGGGCGCCTCCCGAGAGGGATGGGAAGAGCCCGGCGGGGCCCTGCCTGCAGGAGGAGGCGGGAGAGCCACTAGGTGGCAAAGGTACGACGGGTGGGGAGTGGGCTGAAGAACTCAGGGGGAGCCAGCTGGCTCCCCGGGGAAAGTGACTGCGAGAGAGCCTCTTCTAGGCTGGCCGTGGCGGCTCGTGCCTGCAATCCTAGCTCTTTGGAAGGCAGAGGTAGTTGATTGCTTGAGCCCCAGAGCTTGAGACCAGCCTAGGTAACCTAGCAAGACCTCGTCTCTAGTAAAAATAAAAAATAGTTTTTAAAAAATAAAAATAATTTTTAAAAAATCTTTTTAGAAAATTTTTAAATTTCTTATTTTAAAGATGGGTACAATTCAGGATTAGGTATACAAGTGGTCATTGTACAGGTAAAGTTTGGGCCTCACTTTGGTTCCCGCTTTGCCTGGTTTGAGATCAGGTCCCTTATTGATGTTGTGTCTCTCCCCCTCCAAAAAATTCTTAAGAAGAGCCTTTTTCTGGCCGGGTTTGGTGGCTCAGCCTGTAATCCCAGCACTTTGGGAGGCCGAGGCGAGTGGATTGCCTGAGCCCGCGGGTTCAAGATCAGCCTGGGCAACTTGGCGAGACGTCGTCTCTACAATAAATCAAAAATTAGCCGGGTGTGGTAGCGCGCACCTGTAGTTCCGGCTACTTGGAAGGCTGAAGCGGAAGGATCGCCGGAGCCCGGCAGGTCGAGGCTGTGGTAGCCGGGAGGGTGCCACTGGACTCCAGTCTGGGCAACAGAGTGAAACTCCAACTCAAAAAAGAAAAAAAAAAAAGAGCCTTTTCCAAAGAGGAGGGGGGCGCTGGGTACGGTATCTCATATCTGTAATCCCATCAATGTGGGAGGCCAAGATAGGAGAATTGCTTGAGCCCAAGGGTGTAAGACCAGCCTGGGCTGCATAGTGAGCCCCCATCTCTACAAAAAGTAACAAAAGGAAAACTGGGCGTGGTGGCACCTGCCTGTAGTCCCAGCTACTTTAGAGGCTGAGGCAGAAGCATCTCCTGAGTCCATGAGGTTGAGGTTGTGGTGAGCCACGATCGTGCCGCTCCCTCTAGCCTGGGTGACAGACTGAACCCCTGACTCAAACAAAACAAAACAAAACAAGGGCCAGGAGCTGAGACAGCCCAGAGCCCTCCTGTACTGGGCTCCCTTCCTGCTGGGTGACGTGGGCATCTGCTCTGTCCTCACAGGAAGGAGGAGGCCCATGCTGTACCCCCTGGATTTTGAGCAGCTGATGGCCCAGGAGCACAGTCTCTGCAAGCCCTCCTCTGCCGGGGAGACGTTGCCTCGGCGTTTCTCCTTCAGCCCTCCCGCCACCAGCCCGAGGACCGTCTCTCCTGGGGGCCGGCCTGGAGCCCGGAGCCCCCTCAGCCCCTTCGACACCGAGACCTTCAACTGGCCCGATGTGCGAGAGCTCCGCTCCAAGTATGCCTCCCACGACGAGGCGCACCGGGTGAGGGGCAGCCGGCCCCGCGGCCCGCCCGTCAACAGGAGCAAGTCGGTGCCTGAGAACATGGTGGGGCCTCCTGTGTTGGGCAGGGTGGGCCGCTGCTGCAGCCTGAGCACCCGGAGGGGCCGAGGGGGTGGGGAGACCACCCAGCCCCCTGGGCCTCCACCCCAAAGCCAAAGCCAGCCGGATGGAGGCCAGGCCTTGTATGTCACTGCAGACCTCACCCTGGAGGACGAGCGGCGAGTGATTGTCATGGAGAAGGGGCCCTTTCTTGGCCCCGCTGCAGGGCTGGGGGAGGAGGAGGGCAGCGGGCAGGGACTGAGCTTGGGCGTCCAGGAGTCTGCAGAGTGTCGACCGAAGGAAGAGGGTCCCAGGGACCCAGCTGACCCAGGCCAGCTGGGCAGGGTGAGAAACCTGAGAGAGAAATTCCAGGCCTTGAACTCCATCGGTTGACTTGACTCCTGGGGGAGGGGATCACACTGGGGGTTGGGGAAAACCTAGGCTCATGGGAGCCCCTGTCCAGGGCCCTCGGGTGGGTGCTGTCCTGGACGAATGCTCCCGTGTGCAGGTGGACTCCTCTGCGTCTGCCCTGTGCTGCCATTCTCCCAGGCTCACGACAACTTTCACGGGCCCGGGTGAGCCACTCCCCTCTGAAGCCGGCATGGCCACATCCCTTGTAAATAGTTCTTCTCTGGTGAAAAGCCAAATATTTAAGCTCACCTCTGTCCAGAGAGAGCAAACCTTGCACCAGCCCCCCGAGCGGGCTGACCTCTGCCAGACCCAGGAGCCCACCGGGGCACTCGGGACATGGCCTGGAGGGACCTTGTCCTTAGCTGTGCCTTTTCTTGGCATCCAGGAGGCCAATAATTTATTGTGTTTCCATTCTGTGGTGTGCCGTGCGCACGCATGAATGTTCCTCTGTTGTCTTTCACCCTCCTGTGAAGAATGTCACGGACTCGGTTCAGGTACTTTCGCGGTTGTGGCGCTGACCCTGCGGTGGTTGCTAATGTACACACATTTCATTATTTGCCCACGGTGCAATAGCCACTGCTGACCGGCCGTCCGTGTGTGGCCTCTCTGTTGGGACTGGCTGGAGGGGGGAGGAGTGTGCGTGGGCCAGGGGTGTCTCAGGGAGGCGAGGACATGGGGTTGTACTTGCAGGCTCACGACCCGTGAGGCACCGGGGTACTGGGGGCGGAGGGCAGGGATGTGAGGGCAGGCACCTTCCCTCTGCCACTGCTCCTTCTGGGAGCTACTCTCTCTGCCCACGGCCTGCTGTTCTGTCTACATGGGGCCCACATGCCAGCCTTTAGTTCATTTCCCCAAGGGCCAAAGTTGGACTAAAAACAGGTGCACGCAAACGGACCGTTTTGCTAATAAGCAGACGTTTCCCATGTCCGATGCCTTGGGCATTTTCCTCCTTCTCCAGCTCCCAGGAGACATACCAGAAGGCAGGATTCTAAACTTGGATCCTAGAAATGCAAGTATGTTTTTCTGGGATGGATCCTTCCTTTTCTTCTTATTTTTTGTGGTGCTATATAGCCTCCTTCTGTTACCCAGGCTGGATTGCAGTGATGCAATCTTGGCTTACTACAGTCTCAACCTTCTGGGTTCAAGTGATCCTCTTACCTCAGTCTTCTGAGTAGCTGGGGCTACAGGCATGTGCCACCATGCCTGGCCAATTTTTAATTTTTTTGTAGAGATGGGGGTCTTGCTATGCTGCCCAGGCTGGTCTTTTTTTTTTTTGAGTTAGAGTCTTACTCTGTCAGCCAGGCTGCTGGAGTGTACTGGCACACTCACAGCCACCGCAGCCTCAACATCCTGGGCTCAGGTGATCCTTCCGCCTCAGCCTTCCAAGTAACTGGAACCACAGGCATGTACCACCATGCCTGGCTAATTTTTTGATTTATTGTAGAGACGGGGTCTGGCCATGTTGCTCAGGCTGAGCTCAGGCAATCCTCTTGTCTCCGCCTCCCACAGTGCTGGGATTACAGGCATGAGCCACCATGCTCTCTAGATCCTTTCTTTTTATTGCATTCTCAATAGAGTCTTTGATTCAGAAGAGGAAGAATGCCTCCCAATTTCTGGGTTTTCTGCCCTTTCTCCATGGCGGGGGGATTCCAGCCTGTTTGACCCGGTTTGTTCTGGCTGGAGCTGGGAAGGAGGCAGCGGTGGGCTGGGTGGTAGGGCTGTCTGACAAGTGCCCCACAGGTCTGCTGGGTCAGGGCCCTGTGGGTCTTCTGACCTAGAAGGATGGACCCAGCCTGAAACTGGGTCTGCAGAGTCTGAATGAGGTCAAGGGAAGATCGGAGGCCAGTAGGAGTCTCTTGAGCAGAGGCAGTGCAGGACAGAGACGGTCTGTGTCTGCCAGCTGTCCTGAATCTTCTGTGGTCACTTACACAGTCACTGAGGAGAGCACTGGCTCCTGCCAGGCCAGTCTCAGGATGTGCCACTGAGTAGCCACAGGGCACTGCACAGTGTGAGTGTTGGGCAACCAGATTCTTGTCTCAGCCTTGCTGCTAACTGGCTGGGTCACCCATACTGTTGCCTTTTCCTCGTTTGTAAATGGAAAGAGATGGGGGAGGTGCTGTTTCCCAGACTCCAACTGGGACTCTACATTGGGCTGGGCCTAGAAGGTGGCAGTCAGTCCCTTCCCAGGTGACCCTAACACGTGTGCCCGGGTATGTCTGGGAACCTTGGAGCAGGTTGGCGCTTTTCTCTGGCCACCCGTGGGGTCATCTGGGGAGCCTTTGAAAATTGGCAGTGCCTAGTCCCATCCCGCTAGACCAAGTGAGACTATCCCCCTGGAGACGAGTCCCAGGCATAGCGATTCTGGGGTTTTGCTGTCCAGTGAGGACTGAGGTCTGCCTCGAGCCTCGCAGGGAAAGGCCTGGGCTGACGACCTAGGCTTAGAAATGCCTTTGCCCTACAGCAGGCCTTCATGTTGACCGCATGCATGAGTGAGCAAGCTTTCTGAGTGTCCAGGGAGGCACAGAACCTGGTGCTGTCAGAATCATCCCATAAGACTCCCAGGGACTAGCAAAGAGTCTACCCGACCCTCTGTCTCCCTGGTGCCAGCTGCCCTCTTAAGACCAGTTCAGAGGGAAGCGAAGCTAGCCAAATAACAAATGGAAGGTTGAGCATGGCAGCTGCTCACACCTGTAATCCCAGCACTTTGGGAGGCTGAGGCGAGAGGACTGCTTGAACCCAGGAGGTCGAGACTAGCTTGAGGTCGAGACAGAGTGAGACCTCATCTCTTAAGTACAAAAAGTAGCCGGACGTGGTGTGTAGTCCCAGTTACTCAAGAGGTCAAGACAGAAGGATCACCTGAGTCCATGAGGTCGAGGCAGCGGTGAGCCATGATTGTGCCACTGCACGCCAGCCTGGGCGACAGAGTGAGACCCCAACTCAAACAAAACAAGAAACAGAGAAATGTAGAGCATTATTGATTTATTAGAAAAACTAGTAAATGGGTTTCCTCTGATTGGTGGAAGCACGGTTGAGCAGGTAGAGCGAGGCCTGGCTGGCCCCAGGGCCGCCCGACGGCATGGTCTGTGCCCCACAGGGCGGCCCCCTCCCCAGCCTCCCCTCGCGGCCCCCGGGAGCCTGCTTGTCCAAGCGACCAAGCCATGTGGTCCCGCTGGCTGCTGCTCCTCTGGATTTCTGTCCCTGTAAGCTTAGGGGGGCACAGAGATTCAGGCCCAGCCTAGGGGACCCCTGCTGTCCTCAGAGGCAGAAAGGAGGGGTGTGGAGGGGGAGCTGAGCTGTCCCCCGGCCTCCTGTCAGGGCTGCACATGGAGACAGGTTGGGGGAAGAAAGCCCAAGCACCCCCTCCCACCCTGTACCTCCTGTAGCCATAGTCAGTTGAGGCCAGGCGAGGGAGGGGAAGGACAGAGGGAAGAAGGGCTGCCCGGCCGTGCCCGGAAGGAGCTTCCTCTGAGCTGCCCTGGGGAGGAAGCCTAGTGTGCTGGTGTGACTGGAGCTGTGTCAGCCTGGCTGGGGAATATTGTCAAAGAAGACTGCAAAGTAGATGTTTAAGGAGGAAAAACAAAAAAAGAAACCTTGCCAGGGGACCAGGGGAGCTGAGCCTAGGGTGACACAGGGTCCCCCAAAGCCCAGTTGGCCTGGGGGATGTGGGAGGGACGCGTGGGAGCTAGGGACCAATGGGTCACATGCAGCTGGCTGCCCTCGGCCAGTCTGGGGCCCTGAGGTGGGGGATACCGGCCCTTCACAGAGCCCGCCCCTTCTCGGGTCTGTGGGGCTGCTTGCTGGATGTCCCTCGCTCCGGGTGCTACTTTGGCACACATAAGGGGGGCAGGGTGGCCCCTTACCCCTTGGCTTCCTAAAGTGACCCAGGGACACTGAGGGAAGGGCCTGCCACCACTTGCCCTTCAGCAAGGAACCTGCTCTCTGCCCCCGACGAGGACATGCCCTCGAGTGCACCAGAGGCCTGCTTTATTGCTAGGTTACGGTGGTCACCTCCTGCCTTGGTTTCCCCAGATGTAGAAAGAGGCTGGTGATACACACTGTTCCCTGGAGAAACAGAGGGCTCTAGGGCCATGTGTGTTAAGGCCGTATGAAGACCCCGGCTGCGGAGGTGGGAACGCCTGGCCTGGCAACACCAGGCTCCCTCGGATAACATGCCTGGCCTCCTGTGGCTCCCACCTGCTGAAGATGGCTGCACCCCGACATGTCAGGCCCACCGGCTGGAACTGATCTCTGAACTGTGCCTGTGCTGGTCAGCTCTCTGGGTTCCTGGGGAGGAATTCTGGCTTCTACCTGAGCCTCACCCACTTCCTGCCCTGACGTAAGGCTCCTTCCCATGGGGAAGGGGAGAGAAACTGACTGAGGAGGCCCTGGAGACCCTCATGGTCTTCCTAGAGGGAGAAATGACTGCTGTCCCCAGTGTGACCCCTCTTTTGGGCCTCACCCCAGTTAGGTGCTGGGCTGAAGCTGCACTGCTTTCAGTTGCGTGGCGGGAGATACCCTTGTGGGGTGAGCTGCTCCTCCCCTCCAAAAGCCCGACCTGGCAAGCACAGGGAAGGCCGGCCCCAGGACGCAGGCTGCGAGCCCCCTTCTGGTACAGGGATGGAGGGTGTAGGTGCTTGGCTTCTGTACTCACGGGACGCCCCCCTCCCCACCAAAACCCAAGACCAGCACCCTCCAGAGAAGCAGATCCAAAGGGGCCCCACCGTCATGGCTCTGGCCCCAGTGTTTGTCCCGCACGGGTGTTGATACCTAGGCGTGGCCATGTCTGCCACCCCTGGGTGATAAGTGGTCTCCCTTGCTGTCTGTCCAGTCATCGCTGTCCGGTGCAGGCAGCTGCAGACGGGCCATAATTGGGCATTTGGCTTTGGGGTGCTTTACTGCAGGTGCTGGGGTGTCCGTCTTGGATCTGGGGGGGTCCTCCAGTCTCCCTAAGGGGCCGTGTGTCTGCCCGTCACACATTGCTAGTGTGGCGGCTACTGGGCGTGGAGGGAGGCTCCAGCATAGAGAGGCAGAGTCTTAGGCAGTGTCGAGACCCTTGTGTCACCGTCTGTCGCTCCCTCAGGTCTGAGTCCTGAGCCCTGACCACAGTTTTGGGGAAGGAATAGCGTGGCCCGCTGACCCTCCTGCCATGTGCCGGTAGCGGCAGGTGTTGGAGGCAGCAGAAGGCCCCTTCAGTCGGAACCCACCAGTCTTGCAGGGGGGACTCTTTTTTCTGGTGGGAGGAGGGGAAAGGAAGGGATGTGGGACCCCTGAGGTGAGAGTCCTGCTTCTGAGGAAGCCCCATGGGGAGGAGGCTGGGGGCACCCAACACCCTGCATCCATCTTGTTCCCTCTGTCCCCAGACGCTGGGGGTCTCTGGGCTCCATGGCCGTGCCCCTGCGGGGCAGGTTAGGTATTTCCAGTGTGCCCTTCCCCTTCCCTGGTTGCCACCAGAAGGGGGTGGCCCCAACCAAGACTGGCTTTGGGAACAAGCCGCATTCGAGAACGCCTTCTTCTCCAGCTTTTGTTGGGGGCAAGGAACTGGCAGCCCTCAACTCGGGAGGGGGGAGGGAGAGGAGAGAGTGGGTGCCTCTGAGAACCGTTCTGCCCCCAGGCCTGGAGGCCCACCAACCCACCCAGGGTGCCAGAGGAGCCAGGGGGCCCGTCCCTGCAGCGGGGGCGAGGGCATGGAGGCAGGCGCGAAGGCAGCTCTTGCAGTGCAGCAGGGGCCCGGGCCCGGCCTGCAACGCCACTCAGAGTGGGCGGCGGGCCCTGTCCCCACGTGTCCCCGTGCAGCCCCCCCACCGCGGGGGCTGCCAGCCGCTACTTCTTTTTGGGGAAGAAGCTGAATCTCTTCTCCTTGTCCTTCTTGCCAAGGCTGGCATCAGGGCCTGAGAGGGAGGACAGGGGCAGACTCTGCGCCTTGACACGGATGCTCTGGGACTCCGTGATGGCCGTGCTGACGCCTTGCAGCCAGGACAGCATCTCCTCCTGGGGGGGACGTCAGGGCCGAGTTGGGGCACCACAGCCCCTAGACCTCCCGGCCTGGCCGCGAAGGGGTTGCTGCAAGGATCGAGGGCGTCTGGGGCACGCGGCGTGGGTCACCTCCACCGGCCCCACTACCTGTCCGGGCTGGGCACGGCCGCCCGCACTTACCTCGTCCTTGCCGTGAAACAGCCACTCACTGCCGTTACTCAGCCTGGGAGGACAAAGCACATCTTGTCAGGTGGCTACCCTGGAGGCCCGGGCCTGGGCAGAGGACTGGCTCTGGTCCTACAACCCCCTAAGCCAAATATCCAGAACCTTCTCAGGTAGCACAGTACTTTCTGAGAGAAGTTATAGTCTCCACCTTCAGCCTCTGGGTTTTTGTTTTTGTTTTTTTGAGACCAGGTCTTGTTCTGTCACCCAGGCTGGAGTGCACTGGCATGATCATAGCTCACTGCAGTCTCGACCTCCTGGGCTCAAGGGTTCCTCCTGCCTTAGCTTCCTGAATTGCCATCACGCCATCTTTTTATTTTTACTTTTTGTGGAGACGAGGTCTTGCTACGTAGCTTAGGCTGGTCTTGAACTCCTGGGCTCAAGAGATCTTCCTGCCTCAGCCCCCCAGGTAGCTAGGATTACAGGCATGTACTACCATGCTGGTTTTGGTTTTTCATTTTTGTTTTTTTAGGCAGGGTCGACGTTGCTGTGTTGCCCAGGCTGGTCTCAATCTCAACCTCCTGGGCTCAAGTGATCCTCCCACCTCAGCCTCCCAAAGCACTGGGATTGCAGATGTCAGCCACCGTGCCTGGGTCAGACTCTGATATGAAAAAATCCCGGAGGAACAGCTCTGGCCTGGAGCTGGTCCCATACAGGGTGCCTCTGCCTGGCCACAAGTGCCAAATCAAGCCATCTGTCAAAGGTCTCAAGGCCCAGGAAAGCGCGAGTAGCCAGGAAGGCCTCACCTCAGCTTAAAGACATGCTTCTTCTTCTTGTAGTTGGCGGCAATCTCACAGATGGCGTGTCTTAGGGCCAGGGGTTCCTCTCCGTGGTAGGGCATCCCCAGGGCCAGGTTCTTGGCATCCTTGTAGAAGGTCAGCTCACTGTTCCTGAGCACACAGTACAGGTTGTTCCAGGACCTGCCAAGATGCAGACAGGCGGGTCACTCATGGTCCTGATGCAGTGTCTCGAGAATCAATTCCTATAACTTTACCATGGTTTAAATTACACAATTTGGCTGGGCTCGGTGACTCAGCCTATAGTCTCAGCACTTTGGGAGGCCGAGGCAAGAGGATTGCCTGAGCCTGCGGGTTCGAGACCTGCCCGGGGAACTTGGCGAGACCTCGTCTCTACAATAAGCCAAAAATTAGCTGGACGTGGTGGCACGCGCCTGTAGTTCCAGCTACTTGGAAGGCTGAGGCGGAAGGATTGTTGGAGCCCAGCAGGTCGAGACTGCAGTGGCCAGGAGCATGCCACTGCCCTCCAGCCTGGGTGACAGAGTGAGACTCCAACTCAAAAATAAAAAAAGAAAAATAAAGAAAAATAAATTACACAATTTTTGCTCTGATACACAGTAACACATTTTATTGCTAAAACAAAAACAAAAAAACCTGAGTCTGGCTGCGGTGGCTCACACCTATGGTCCCAGCACTTTGGGAGGCCGAGGCAGGATGATTGCTTGAGCCCAGGAGTTTGAGAACAACCTGGGCAACATAGCGAGACCTTGTTGCTACAAAAAAAAATCTATGCAAACAAAAATGAAACTATGTAATGTCATTATCAAAAATTAACTTGTTGACAATTTGTGTATTCTAGTTTCTATTTACATATTCACACTTTTTCTATTTCCGTAGATAGCTAAAATTGGATTATATTATATATTCAATTTTATATCCTTCTAAGCTTATCACTATGTCATGAGAATTTTTCAATATCCTCAGATATTTCTTGGAATAATTTTCAATAGCCACATTGTATCCTTTCCTATGTATTCTAGATCCCTTTATTGGTGACGTTTACAATATTGGAAAATTTATCCACAATTTAAATCATAATGCGATGCACATTCTTATGCATAAATCTTGGCCTGTAATTCTGATCTTACCTTGAGGCACATTTCTAGAAGTAAAATTATTGAATATAAGACCGACAATATAAACTTAACACTTCAAAGTATTTCCACATCATTAGCATAATACTTGATGCTCACTATAGAACTGTGAAGTGAACCGAGCAGGGTTTGTTATGGTGATTGCTATTGATTTTTGTGTACTAGATATGCCCTAGTGTACTTTTTAAAGGAACAGATTTGGGCAAATCAAGTCTCATCTTGAGTCTGGTGATCTTGAGTCTGGTGAGAGCATCAAGCCCACATGCTAACAGGTGGGCTGGCCCAAGCTCCTTCAGTGACACATGAGAAGTGTGTTGTTGTTTTAATTTTTAGAAACAAGGTCTTGCTCTGTCACCCATATTGAGTGTTGTGGCGCGATCACAGCTCACTGAAGCCTCGAACTCCTGGGCTCAAGTGATCCTCCCACCTCCGCCTCCTGAGTAGCTGGGACTATAGGCACACACCACCACACCCAGCTAATTTTTAAATTTATTTTTTGTAGAGGTAGGGTCTTGCTTTTGTCTCTCAGGCTGGTCTATAACTCCTGGCCTCAAACAATCCTCCCGCCTCAGCCTCCCAAAGTGCTGGGATTATAGGTATGAGCCATGGCACCTGGCATGTTACATTTTTATAGTAACAAACACCGAGAAGCATTAAGTTTTTCTTCCTCATCTTCCTCCTTCTCCCTCCTCTTCAACCTCCTCTCCCTCCTCCATTTTTATTTTATTTTTATTTCTGTAGAGGTGAGGTCTCATTCTGTTGCCTATGCTGGTCTTGAACTCCTGGGCTCAAGCAATCCTTCCGAAGTGCTGGGGTTGCAGGTGTGAGCCACCGTGCCCGGCTCCTCCCTCCCTCTTGAGGCTAGAAATGTGGAGGACTGGTAGGGCATGGGGGAGGATGTACTGGAAGGTCAAAGGGGAAACTTGGCCCATACAAAGCTGAGGGCAGAGAGGTATGGTACGAAGCCCGGATTTCTGACTCCGAGCTCAAGGATCTTCCCTCTAGCAGAGGGACAGTTGCTAAGAAGGGCCTGGGTGTTTGGAGTAAGATTCTGTCCTGAACAAATGACTTAACCTCCCCGAAACTCTGTTTCCCCTGATGGAAAATGGGAACCCCTATCACGGGGTTGTTGTGAAGATTGTATCAGTCCTAACACGATGGCAGGCACACAGTAGGTGCTCAATAAATGTCGGTATCCCCTTCCTGGGGGACTCTCCATTTAAGTGATGGGCCTCTTCAGGGTGGTTGGCCCCGCTCGTTCTTGGAATTTGGAATAACATTGGCGAGACCCCCCCCCCGCCCCCGACATGCTCTGTGCACCATCAGGTATCCCTGGGAATACTGCTGGCTTCAACCTGTGACGGCTCCCCCTTTCCCCGGGACCCTGGACTGCAGCTAGGTGGAAGAGGCCCTGGGGACCCTGGGCAGAGGCAGCCCTAGATGGACCAAACCCAAGGGCATGCCTGACTCAGGGTCAGGAAGGGACACAGCCTTGGAGTCAGTTCCTCAGGGTCACAGAGTCACTGAATGACGACCCTGGAGGGGACTCTGAAGACATCCAGGCCACATCACCTCCCAGCTCACAGCCAAGGAAACTGAGGCCCAGACAGGATAAAAAGTGGGGCTTGATCCAGGCTTGGTGGCTCAGCCTGTAATCCCGCGCCTTTGGGAGGCTGAGGTGAGTGGATTGCCTGATCCCACGGGTTCGAGACCCGCCTGGGCAGCGAGACCACATCTCTACAATAAATAAAAAAAATCAGCCGGGCGTGTTAGCGCATGCCTGTAATTCCGGCTACTCGGAAGGCTGAGGCGGAAGGATCGCTGGAGCCCAGCAGGTGAGGCTGCAGTGGCCAGGAGCGGCCACTGGGGCTTGGTCAGGGATGTTTCTGTTTCTGTTTTGAGTTGGCGTCTCACTCTTTGCCCAGGCTAGAGTGCAGTGGTATGATCACAGCTCACCACAGCCTCCACCTGAGCTCAGGTGATCCTTCTGCCTCAGCCTCCCAAGTAGCTAAGACTTTGAGTGTGCGCCATCATGCCCAGCTAAACTTTTTGTAGAGACAAGGTCTTGCGATGCTGCCCAGGCTAGTCTCTAACTCCTGAGCTCAAGCCATCCTCCCTCCTCAGCCTCCCCAAATGTTGGGATTACAGGTATGAGCCACCACGCCTGACCCAAGAATATGTTGTTAGTACCCAGACCTACCCGCCTGTTGCCCAGCTCTGGAATAGCAGGATAATAATGGCTGGCACCTACTCTGTGCCAGGCACAGTGTCTGAACTGAAAAAGCATGCTATCCTCATCACCCCAGTTTTCCAAATGGGGAAACTGAACAGAGAGGTGGAGTCACTGGATGAAGTCTGAGGATTTGAGCCCAGGGCCTGAGCTGAAGATGGGCTCTCCCATCACGCCAAGCAGCCCCTGAGCCGGCTCAGAAGGTGTCCGGGGGCTCTCACAGGCCAGAGGCAGAGGCCCCCCTCACTCCCAACACACGTCTGTGTCCCCAAGGCTCTGTTGGCAGTGAGATCCCTGGGAGCTGTCCCCTCCCCCAGCCCCACCACACACCTGTTGGAGGCCTTCTTGTTGGGCCCCTCCAAGTCGTGCTTCCGGCCAAGGTAGCCCTCCATCTGCACGTTGTGCCCGTGGTCACGCGGGGCCGGCAGTGTGGTGGGCTCGTCGCCCTCGCTCAGGGGCGTGTCCAGGGCTTTGAAGAGGGGCTCCGTGGCGGGCCGCTTGTCCCCACCGGGCTTCTCCGCCGGCCCGTCCTCATGCCGCCCTGGCGGGGGTGGCGGCTGCAGGTCCTGAGGCCGCGGCCCCCCATCTTCCCCCTGCTCGGGACACGGGAGCACACCTTGCTGGGACCTCTCTCCCCAGCAAAACCGGGGGGCGGCCCCCACCTGCACCTGGCTGCTTTCTGCTCTGCACCTCCTGCCCGCCCTGACTCTCCCACATGCGACCGGGACACCGTCCCTGCCCCTTCCCCCTTCCCCCTCAGGGAGCAGCAAGGGACCCGCCACCCCAGTCTACTACAGAAGGAGGTTTGAGAGTGAACCCAAGGGCTGAGAGGTGATTTCATGGGGGTAAGGAGCTCTGACGACCCTGGGAAGCCCCGACTCTGCCTCCACCCTGCCTCAGCCAGAAGCTCCCCCTGAGGGGTCGTGCAGCTGGAAGTTCTGTTGAGACAAGCCTGACAGCCGCTTACACTAGGGTCTTGAGTGGCAATCCTTCTGGAACTTTCAAGCTGCGTCTAAAGTCCTAAATCTAAGGGCATCAGACCCTACGTCTCCCCCGCCTTACCAAGGGAGAGCCCAGACCCTCCCCGGCCACCATCACAGGCCCTCCTCCCAACATCTGCTGGGAATTTGTGGGACAGGCTGGTGGTTCCTAACCCTGGCTGCTTTCTCAATCATCCCAGATGATTCCTCCCGAGAGCTTTGAAAAGTGCTCAGGCGCCCACCTCAAGACGCTGAGTTCACTGGTCTGGAGGGTCAGCACATGACTATTTCTTGTTTTGGGGGGCAGGGGGGAAGAATGGGCTCTTGCTCTTGCTCCATAACCCAGAATGGAGTGCAGTGGCACGATGACTCCACTTCCCAGACACGAGCAGTCCTCCTGCCTCAGCCTCCCAAGTAGCTGGGACTGCAGGCACGTGCCAAGAGGCCTGGCTAATGTTTTGACTTTTTAATTTTTTTAAGAGATGGCGGGGGAGGTCTTGCTACATTGCCCAGGCTGGTCTTGAACTCCTGGCTCCAAGCAGGAGCCACCTCAGTCTCCCAAAGTGCTGGGATTACAGGCGTGAGCCAAGGTGCAGGCCATGGTATCTCTTCCCAAGCAATCCATGCATGTTAACATGCAGCAGGGATGGTGAACGGCCGGCGTGAGGAGGCACTGCCCTGGGGAGAAGCTGTGGCCTTTACCTCCCTGAACCTCCTTGTGGAGGCTGGGACATTCCCAGCACCTGCCGGTGCCAAGTGAGGGCCTCCAGGGGCACTGGAGGTACATAGAAGAGCCCTTCTTACTCGAGGCCTTGCTAATCTGCCCTGTCAGGGCAGGAAAGGGAGGGCTGAGTGGACAGGGCAGTAGGGCATGGCCAGCTGCCCACTGCTGGGCAGGGCCAGAAAGGGTGTTGTCCTCTGTGCCAAAGAGCACCTAGGAAGGCAGCCGTCTGGAGCCATCTAGCCAGAATGCCGTCCCCAAGGTCTGACTGCTGGGCACCTTCTGGCATGAGGTAGGAAGGCCCCAACAGGCCATGGCTGGACGCCCGAAGGACCAAGGACACCGCACCTGCCGAGGGGACCAGAGCCACCCAGGCCGTGGAGAGACCGCTCCTTTTCCTCCTCCCTCCCAGCGGAGGAGGGACCCCAGCTGGGGAGGAGACAGGTAGAGCCAGGAAGGAGAGACCATGTTCTCCCCCTCAGTGTGGGTCCTCCAGCCCGCGGGTCAAACCCCAAATGGAGGATGGGGGTGGGAGGGTGGCAGCACCATACTGCACATCGGGTTGAAGCTTTCCATAGGTAGATTTTGTAACCGCGGAAGATGATCAAGGTTCCCCAGAAATGGCACTAAGGAATAGGAAGAAGGCTCAGTGGGGTTTTGTTTTGTTTTTTTTTTCCCCCAGAGATGGCATCTCTGTTGCCCAGGCCAGTCTCGAACTCCTGGCCTCAAGCGATCCTCCTGCCTCAGCTCCCAGAATGCTGGGATTACAGGTGTGAGCCACCACACCTGGCTCAGTGGAGATGTTTGAAGGCAGTGGTTGCAAGCAAACTGGTCATGTTTTATTCCGTCAAATTAGGGCCCATCAAATTAGGATAAACAGATTAGAAGTTAGGGGTCCAGTAACACCTCACTTAAAGAAAAGATTATGTGACTGGAAAAGTTTGGAAACCACTGACCTAGTCTGACATTTTCCAACTATGAGAAAAAAACAATGCTCAGAGAGGTCACACAGCTATTAGTATAGGAGGTGATTAGGAGCATGCACCCCAGAACTGGACAGGCCTGAATTTGTTGTTATTATTCAATCGGGCCTCACTTTGTTGCCCAGGTTGGAGTGCGGTAGTGTGATCAAAGCTCACTGCAACTGGACTTCCTGGGCTCAGGTAATCCTCCTGCCTCAGCCTCCATGTAGCTGGGACTATAGGCACACGCCGCCACACCCGGCTCATTTTGGATTTTTTTGTAGAGAGGAGGTCTTGCTATGTTACTCAGGCTGCCTTCAAATATCTCGAACTCCCAGGCTCAGGCAATCCTCTTGCCTTGGCCTCCCAAAGTGCTGGGCTCCAACTATCCTTCCACCTCAGCCTTCCAAGTAGCCGGAACGACAGGCGTGTGCTACTATGCCCAGCTAATTTTTAATTTTATTGTAGAGATGAGGTCTCACCAAGCTGCCCGGGCAGGTCTCGAACCCGCAGGCTCAGGCTAGCCACGCACCTCGGCCTCCCAAAGTGCTGGGATTACAGGCTGAGCCACCGAGCTGGGCCAGGCCTGGGTTTTTATCCCATCTTCGAGGTGTTTATCTTTTCCTGCCTTAGAGCCCCTGAGGACTGTGGCAGGGACCCCTCCTCTCTTTGCATCTTGTAACGTTCGTGTCTTGGAGTCTCGGCCACAGGGGTCTGGAGGCCCCAAAGCCCTGCCTGGGTCATCCCCTAGTGGCAGTGTGGGACTGGGAGCCTGGGTTCGGGGCCTTCCGAGGACTCAGCCAGGTCAACCCTCGATTTGGATGTTCAGCTGGGGAGGTGGGTCACGAATGCGGAAAGTGCAGCCTCCTGCCCTCCCCTGCCTCCCCAGCGACAGCCTCAAGTCCAGCTGAGCCTGCTTCTCCTCCAGGGTGGGGGGTTCCTGAGGACAGACATAGTGGCCCTGCTGTTCGTAGGCACCGGTCAGAGCCCTCCCTGCCCCTGCCCTGGGGTCTGGAGAAGACACCCGCCCCTCTCCCCCAGCCTCTGCCCTCCTGGGGCCGGTTTTGTGTCTCCCTCTCCTTCCTACCCTTTTCCTTCCATTCCATTTTCCTTTAGGGAACTGTCGATTGAAAATAAAGACGGGTTTTGCCAAGACCACCTCCCGCCTAATCCCACCTTCCTTCTGTTTGCTCTTCAGGGGTGGACCGGGGCCCACATTCCTTGGCAGGGACATTCAGAGGTCAAGGCCAGTGTGATCCTAAGTTATATAGCTGGGTCATGGGTTGGCTTTGGAAATGGGGGTTTTCCAATGTGTGCAAACATTTCTTTGGTGTTCCTGCTGCTCACATAGAGACAGTTTAAAATGCACCCAAGCTGGGTGCAGTGACTGATTCCTATAATCCCAGCCCCTTTGGAGACCGAGGTGGGAGGATCGCTTGAAGCCAGGAATGTGAGACCGGGAGTTCAAGACCAGCCTGGGAAATATAGCAAGACCTCATATCTACAAAAAAATTAAAACATGAACTGGTCAAGGTGATGCACGCCTGTAGTCTCAGCTACTTGGAAGGCTGAGGCAGGAGGATCGCCTGGGCCCAGGAGGTCAAGGTGTGTTGAGCCATGATCGTGCCACTGCACTCCAGCCTGGATGACACAGTGAGACTCCGACTCAAAGTAAGTAAATGAAATGCACCCTGTTCCCCAACCCTGAAGGCCGAGACCAGGAGTGAGGGTGGGAGATGAAGGTATTGGGCTTTGGCAGTGCTTGCCTTTCTCCATGGGTGGGGGGAGGGAACAGGGATGGGGGAGGAGGGGCGAGATGAAGGCGGGTGCAGGAGTGGGAGGGGCATTTGGAACAATCCTTTCTTCCCACTTCCTGGGGGGACAAGGAGGAACCAACAAGGGCTGGGGTGGGGAAGAGGGAGGGCAAGGCATCTCTGAAGGCCCTGTGAGCAGAGACCCCTGCAAACTCTCAGAGCCGGCCCCTTTCCTCAGCCCCTCCCAGCCTCCACCGGGGACTACCAGCAGCCCAGGTGTTGGGTCAGACAGACAGCCTGGCCTGAAAATCCCTGGCAGCTATTTGAGGGAAGGAAGAGAATCCTTCTGGCTAGTGGGTTTTGATGCCGGGCAGGGTGCTGCGTGAGGCTCCCTGGGTTCTCCACACCTCACCTGGCATCAACTGGGAGTGCTCTCCTGCAAGGCAGTGTCTATAGGTCTGTTCAGGTCGGCTCTCAGGATCCTTGGCCCTTCTCTCCCCTCCACCTCCCGCCTGAGGGATTAGCTGAGCGATTGTGGCCAGCATCCTACATGGCTAGTGTGATGACCTCAAATGCCCTTTGTTCCCAGAGCAGGAGATGTCCAGGATTGAGATGGGAGGGGGGATCCCTGCCACCAGCAGGCAAGGCCTCATCCCTCCTTCTTGGCTATTCTTGGGTGGGACGTTCTGAGGCCTGAGATGAGAAGGGAGTGACTCTCTGTGTAGGTAAGCACTTCGGGTGCAACAGCAACGGCCAGAGGCCCCACACAATGCATGGAGGGGAAACTGAGGCAGAAGAGTCCCAGAAAGGGAGAGCGGAAGCCCCCAAGCAGGGTGCAGGACAACAGCATGCTGCTCGGAGGGAGGCTCTGGTAATTCACCACTGGAATTTACAAGAAGCTCACAACTTTGCAAAGAAAAGACATGGGGGGAGGACTGTATCTAGATACATATCCAGGTGGTCAAGTCCTTTTCAGAAGCAAAACTATTTTAAAGAATTACTCCAGGGTTCCCATCTGCACGGGGAAAGCCCAGAAGGTGGTGGAGGGCGAGCGGGAGGAAGGACCAGGTGCTGCCCCCAGCCTGCCACCTCCAAGTGTGTGCAGAGGTCTCGGGTTTGCAATCATGAGAGATAAGGGCTTTCCATGGGGCAATGCCCTGGAGACAACGTAGACTC